AATTTTGATCCAGATTTATATTATAAAAGTCCAAAAGAATGAGAAACTGTAAAGGTAGGCGTCCTAATTTGAAAATTCTATTTGGTTTAATTTGTTATTCCGCTAAATCAAATTATTAGACCGGGTAATATAATTATTTGGAAATTATATAAACGACTACCTTAAATTTGCAAATTCAGAGAATTTGTTGACTTTTAATATGAATTTTTAAAGATGTGGAGTTTGCTTTGAAATGTGATATAGTTATAACATAGCAAATAGAAAAACACAAAGTTTACGAAATTATCAAAATAATATATTTAAAGTGATAAATATGAGTAATATAAATATCACAATTATTAATATCAACAAAACACTTTACCAAACGAATAAATGCAATTAAACAAATAAAACCAATTAGTTTAGATAAAATAAAAAATGAAACTATTTAGTAAACGGAATGAAAAATGGAAAACATTTAAACAAAAGCAATGAACTTATTTAAAACTACTCAACTTTTTTCATTTAAAATTTAATACAATATAATCAACTATTCTTGACAAGTATTAGCACGTTAAGCTCTTACAATTCTTCTATATTAGAGACTGGAAACTTGTGTTGCTTGTATCTTTGGAGTATAGTACTTTCAATTAACATCAACGTCGCGAGCAAAATCGTCTCATATAGTGATTCCTTATCTTTAATTTGTGATTGATCTTCCAAATCCTTTAGTGTATGCCCACCGTGACCAACTAAAATTATTGCTTTCAGTATTTGCTGCTTGATAAGCACCGCTACATTGTAATCTTTATTACCATGGTTTCGATTGATGACACAAAATAATAGTGGTGTGGTATAGAATTTTGAGATGGTACGAAAGATGGTTGTACAAAAAAAATAACATAACATTACAAAGAGTGGTACAAAACGATAGTACAAACATAAATTCGATTGGTGATTAGTAGTACAAATAGTAAAATATTATATAAAAACAATTAAAAAGAAGATTTTAATTTAAAACCCAAAATTTCTGATTTAACATACTTCAAATATGTACAACTACTTGTATATATTATTTCTAAAATAAACAACATACATAGCAAACTAATTTATTTAAAATTTATCATTCGGTTTTATCCGTTAAACAAACATAGCTCACCAACTCCACTAAGAAACTCAAAATATTTAACTCTACTTAGAGCACTTTTATTGGGGTATCATAACTAGATATTCTCTATTAAAATAATAATAAAAAGAAGAGATAGAAGAAAAGAGAGTGAAAGTCGGTTCCTGAACAGAGACGTTTCTAATATTGTTCTGCCACTTGTCAATAACCTATTGGATCCATCGTTAAAAATAATTAAAACATTAAATTCTTTTTTTTTTAGAATAAAGTTGCTTTTGGGCAAACAACGCTTGATTTCATTAGTAATTTTAATATTCTAAATACTTTATTCGACTTGGTCTACTAATATTTTTGACTTTTGTAACCAAACGTATTGAGTTTGAGAATAAAAAATACAAACTAAGGGTGTAAATGGTGACATATAAAAATAATTCTGCCAGATTCAGCAATTCTGCAGTTACCATTTGCTATGTAAAAAAATTCAGCCATATTCAACTAAATTCAGCAAAAAAATATATTGTAAAATTCAGTTGAATTCAACTAGATTCGGCAATTTTTGCAACACCAAATGATATATAAATATGTTTATTTTGGATAATAGATTGGATAAAAGCGAATATTTGAGTTAGGTAATAAAATTTAGAAGATCAAAAGTACATCTAGAAATATTTTTTTAAATTAAATCGG